ACTTCCTTGTTTTGATCTCTTTGACTACTTTATTATAGAGTTTCACCAGTCTTAACTCTACTCCCTCACGGACTAACCTCACGAACTCCAATTTAGAAGCCACCGCAACTATCATAGTTAAACAAGGACGCTTAGACTTTTTGTCTGCCGTGTTCCCCAGGCTTTAGCAAGTCTAAGCTCGGAGCTCGCAAAACTTTACGAGAAATCAGGTCCCACCTTTACATATAAACAGCTCCACTACCTTCCATCCTCTCCAAATTTCCTAATAATCTTCCCTTCGCAGTTTCTTTATACCTACCACTCTTCCAGCATTCCCGGATGCCCAAACGACTTGCATAAAAGCGAGCATAACCAACAACTTTGTATAACATTCAGCATAACCTTCTTCGTTATATCAGTCGAGCTCCCAGCCTTGGATCCCCTGTGTTCGCTCCCTTCAAAGGCATTTCCAATTCATTAATTGCTTTTCAATTTTCTCGTTTATTGTTCACCATTCGTTTGTTTTCATTACCTCCTGTTATACATTGCTCGCCCTGAACTCCATTTTTCATCACCGAACTCTATTCTGCACATTTACCTCACTGCCAACTCTTAGTTACCTTATCACACTTTGACCCTAGTCATCTCCTCCTAAAATTCTCTTAAGCTTTGCAGACTCTTACAATCCCTTTCCGAAGCCCCATGCTTCGGTCTGCAAATACGCGTATATTTGCACAGCTAGCTAATGCTTTCACAGAACTCGAATTCCATCGAGGCTCAAATGGGTGCCTTCGAGTTCCCAGCTACCAACGAACCCCAATTCCCTCCACCCTCCGGTAAGACCAATCCGGGGGATCCTGCGCCCTTGCCCAGCATTGCGATAGGGCAGCTTCACCTGCTCGCCACCCAGAAATTTCTTGAGGAACGAGACAACTCTCTCTCCCGAAGCAAGGCACGAGGCCTCACCGAGGCCGAACGACGTAAAATGTTCCTCACCATCGGGAAAAAGCAAGAAAATCAAGACGAATTGCTCAGAATATGTCAAGAACGTGGACTTCAAATTCAAAAAAAACTTTTCAAAGCGAAAGCAAAGCTGAACAGCTATCGAGATAGCCTTGCCCAAATCGAAGCAGCCAACGCTGGGAAGCTTTATGTTCCAGGGGGCCTGGTTTTTCGTTTCGGTGCCGAGCTTGCGATTTTTATCTCTGAGTGCAGAATTGATAACCCAGTCTCACCTTTTAAAGCAAGGATAAAGGTCCTCGAGGCACAAAATGAAGTTGCCAAACAGGAGGAGCGTCTAGAGGCATATAAAAGACACCTCCTCCGCGAAGTCGAGTCCGTGGAGCCTAGATCCAGTAGGCTTGGACACTTCGGGCCGGAAAGCCAATGTGGGATGGTAGAGAGGGTGAGTGAGCCCTTAAGTCCGCATACAAATTCCCAAAGGGTCGGAGGAATGGAAGCATATGAAGCGGATATCGAATATGATGATGGTGTTGAGGGAAGTTGCTATTGGCATTGGGATGAAGATGATGAAGGTGACACCATATTGGGAGAATCTACCCCTGAGGTACATGATGAGCCATGGAAAAATGAATCACAAGTCGAATCATTGAAGCAAGGAGACTCTCAGAGTGCAGCACCCCCCTCCGGCCATGCATATGTCGTCGATCCTAATCCTAGAGATTACTCTTTACCCTCTCCCCGCGACGACACTACACCAGCACAAGAGATAATGGACAGTGACACTGACAATGATATTATCCCCAATCATCCACCGTCCTGGCAGCCCTTTACAAGAACTGTGGCTGAAATGGAATTTTATTACCGCGCACTCCATGAATCCGACGCAAGATACGGAACTGGCAGGGAGCCTCAGTCCTTGTATGATACCAAGAATTATGATTTCAAGCCATTGATGGCACAGGGAAATCAAGGAGACTACGCGACCACAAAAACACGGTGGAACTCTCCTCCTCCCCCAGCTGTGGCAAGCGAAGACACAACTGAGTCCCTGCCCACCGTCCGTTCTGACAGAGAAAACCAAGTCCCCGCTACTAACACCACTGAGCGTACGGAAACCTCAGAGTCCGGTGATATGCAACATCGGACCCTAAGCTCTGTAGCCACTCCTGTCGTACGCACCGAGACTCCACCTCTTGCGCAAAAGCGAGGGCTTGGAAGCAGTTGGAATGAGAAGGGAAGACATCCTGGGCATGCGATGTGCACCATGTTCAAGAAGGCCAGGCTTGGCTAAAGAAGAGCGCTTGGTTCCTGGGATACAAATTGTTGTCGTGGGACTTTTGAAAAAGGTGGTGGGGTTCGTTTTTGGTACGGCCTGTTGATATTGGAGGCAAAGGGGGTTTCGCTATAGTCCTTGTTCAGATTCTATATCGTCATGTTACAGGCGAAGAAGGCACTCTTTTTATCACATTGGATCTGATGGGCTGGGGCCGTGATATGTATATACATCCATACTAATATGTATACATATCTTCATAGAAAGGGATTTTATTTATATTATATGTACCCACTAGTTTTACCCGCTTTGAATGTTGATACCGCTCTTCAAGATATATCTATTTAACAACCGTCTACTAAATACCAATAACCTCGGAATTTGTTATACATATTGCTTCTGAATGTACCACTCCCTGGAGTTGCATCCTAGACCTTCTGCCGATCGACCCGCCCATTGATATATCAGACACAAGTAACTCTTCGCGCAGTGTTGCTTACAGCATAATATATTGTTTTAGCCATCATGCGGAGTTAAAATTCCCGATTCCCACCAAGCTGTATGTATAAATCTACACCCTTGCCGGATGCCGTTGCCAATTACCGTCCTTGGCTTAGCGCCCCATGTCACCTTCGGATTTGCCCACCCAGTGCCAACAAGCTATCACTCACTGGGTATGAATATTCGTGGTAGTGGTGGATAATTTCTTTTCTTTAATTAAAAAATAAGGAAGTGACTTTTATTATTAAATCAAAAAATTATTAGTATACCGTATATCGGTTGTATTTATGCCTCTATTATAACCTTGCGTGCCCAGGATATGTGGTCCTGTCCCCCTTTACTATTTATGCATTATAGTTAGAGAGGAATGTATATCCCTAATGTTCGCGAGGGTACTTTTGGATCCACTCGACAAGTAAATCGAGCGTACGAGCAAGAAGGAAATCGAAATCATGCCTTATTTATCTTGCTTACGCATGACAGCATCCTTTAATTATAGCCTCGAGCATGGGTCAATTCATTATTATGTTCTCTAAAGTTCATCGTATTTCCGAAAAGTATGCTGCATCTACTGCTGCTTCTATCGTCCAGCGTTCATGTACACTGACGCCTAAAGATTAGCATCGAGAAAAGGGCAATTTCACAAAGGTCAATGGGTTTCCCTGATCGTTTTATCGCGCTAATTGTGGTTATATCCTCACAATGTTATTGATACTAGTAGTTCTATACCATATCTATCGATACTTTCCATGAATGAACACTTTCGTCACCTTTCTATAGTTCTGTGCCTGCGGCATTTCACAAAAACATGCAACTTTGCTCAACGCCATGAATCAAGTTCATCCAAAGCTGTAAATTTTATTTTCTATCAAGAACTCAAAGCTTAGCTTTTTTAAATGCACTGTGAATAAGTACTCTCAGTGAAAAACCCAGAAGTTTGAAGAGTGGTTGCCAAGTACCTTTCCCATCCAAATATTGCAACGCTAGGTATCAATGTCCCTCCCCATAGTTCGGAGACTCCAGCCGACGAAATACCAGTTCAAGAGCTATCTTTACTAGCTTGACTTGTATATTTACCGGATATCAGTAGAATTTATAGCGTTGTTGGTATTTGACACTCCCACCGAAAAGTGGCACTTCTGGTGTAAAAACTGCAAGGTGCGAAGACTAATGTCATGTGTTAACGGCACCACCTATACACTCTACGGTACTACAGGTGCCTGAATCACTAACCCCTGCAAAGGAGGATGTCAGTTGGATTTAATTGAATATCTTCGTGGAAATGAATACTATAGGTTTCATAGGATTCATGGAACCTGATTTGTCCTTATACAGTATCATCTCCTGGTTTTTGGAACGAAATCCGCTAGAATTCTCTACTGTCATGTACGTACCACTCCGCATAGCTAAATATTCGCCCATACGTACCATTCTTATCACTCTTTGGGATAATTTAGGAAGAGGTTTAGCCATTGATATTGTAGGAATCGGTTATCAAATAATTGGTGGAAGCGTTCGGTTTAATAGATTTTTCTTAGGAAAATAGTTTAGCAGAACGTTAAAAAAATATTAGCCTACGCTTTAACGTTTTAATAATTGTTATAATTGCCAATACTCTTGCTACCATAGTTAATATTATTTATCGACTAAGAGGTAAATATATAGAAGACATAGAGTAGCCCTGAGCTGTTCTCGTGCCCATTGCGCTATCTTTAAATCGGCTTCAGCTTTATCCTTAGCACTATTAACTGCGGTTAATTGGGCTGTTAAAGTAGTGATTTCTCTTTTTTTATCTCCTAAGGAACCTAAAGCAGTTTGATGCCCTTGTTTCTCAGAGTTTAACTTTGCAGTTGTTAAGTTAATCAGTTGAATCGTTAACTTCCTTTTGTTTAGCATTTAAGTCTTTTCACCATCTTTTAGTTTTTGCTGAGTACTTAATAAATCAGCAATAGCTTAATCTTTCTTAGCTAAATCATCAATCTTGGATTTATTACTATCCAGAGTTTGCTGATGGGCTAATTTTCTTGGTTCAAGCTTTGCTGAGCCTTTAACAAACCTGCTTCCGCTTTAGCTTTCTCGCTTGCTACTCCTCTCTGAGAAAATATAATTATCTATCCATGCCCGGCTAAATACCTATAGAGCTGTCCTTGCAGGCTGAAACCACCTTTTTGTTTGATTAGCGTGGATCTATATATACAAATCTTCCCACGCTAAACCTCAGGCTAAAACTGGAAGCGAAAGATCCTCATGGAAAAATAAAAGGATACCGAAGGAATCTACTTCACGAACTTGATAGGGATCGAACCTAGAATCTCTTAATGTCAGGCTATTTTGCAATCGTAGTCAAGCGCCTTGCCATCGGGCCACAAGGTCAATTTAGAGTTGAGGAGTGTGTATTTGAATCTTGGTCCCCTTCGGAAACTTTCTCTCGACAATGAATACTTACACCGAGATAAGAAGTAAATTATATTGATGACTCGGTGCCAACCAGACTAGATAACTCAGAGCTTACGGAAAATTTCGCAAGAACGTAAAACCTTAGGCTCGTAACCGTTATTTTCATTTAGGTTTTGATGACACCTGCTAACAAACCATGAAACCCTACGACAAAAGTTGGTAATATTCCCGTTATATGCGATCTCAACACATTCAACGAACCAGGGGAAACTGTAACCCTGTTGTACGTTGGAAACCTGTATAAAGAGAGGCAAAAGAAACGCAAAAAGTATTTGGCTGTGCACGGAATCGAACCGCGATTGTATCGGGACCGTTGAGATCTACTCCACAACGATACGTGCTACCATTACACCACACAACCCTTTGATTTGATAAACGAATTGGGTTTATAAATGTAAAGTTAAAAACGCAAAAACACAAGCGAAGTCAGAATGAAAATAAATTGCTGGCATCGCAACATTGAGGCATCCATGGTTCGAACGTGTCGTCGCTAGCACGCTCAGGTTCAGGGCGTTCTTGGTAATGGTTCCCCTAAGAGATCTAGAGTCCTTCGGTTCAATAACTTGGCTATTGAGTGCTGTGGGGCTTTGTACACTACTCGAAATGGCTGATTTTGCGACTCTTCAATGTGATTACCCCCGATTTATTTGCCAAAGGCCACGACACTACAAAATACTTACCTACGGTATATAGCTCCAGCAGATCTAAGCCTTGAAAGGAACCATCCGCCAAAGACCATTGAATTTCGTTCACTAAATTTAGAAAAAAATCAATCATCAGCTATAATCTTAGTGCCAGTGGCCATATGCAATAAACGTTCAACAAACTTATTAATAAACTTTCTCTTAAGCACAAGCCTAGGCAAATTTACCAGTTCCCCGTTTCTAACAACATGGCCTCTTCTGCCATGGACAGAGGACTGGTGGGTATTTATTAACTATCCTGAGAGCTTTCGTCAACTTCTGCTACAAGATTATCAACTTAGAAATCAAGTTCACTTCGACAGAGAATCTGATGACCACTGAGAGTGGAAAGGCCTCAAAGAATTTTCTACCAGCACACAAGACACTCCCATAAATCCAGTACTTGATCCTGTTTCGATTCTAGTTGAATCTTTCTGGCTGACCATATTTACTAGTTTATTACCATCCTACAATAACCGCAAATATGAACACCTTTGCCCAATTCGCTCGCAAATCCTCCACCTCCTCCGGCACCACCCCCGCAAAAGTGATAGCCACCCTTACCTACTCCAATCCCACCAAATCTCACGGTCCCCAGCGCCACCCAGCTCGCATGACCACCTTGAATGAGGGCCGATCTGGGGATAATTCCCACATGGGCTCCGATATCATACGAAATTACAAGTTGGATGAGATAATAATCAAGGGTGTGGAGGAGGCACCGCTAGTGGACTTTCTGGAGGAACGGAGAATGTTTCGGGCGTTCTCAGAACTGTTGATGAAGATCTAGAATGTGGAAGAAAATTCAAGGCAACCAGCAGATAGGAAAACTATCTGAGAATTTAAAACTGGGATACGTGAAGGGGGGACAAGGAAATTGCTGAAGAAGGGTTAATATCGTGGCATACATTCCACAAGGGAGAAATTGGGAAGGTAGTTGCAAGAGATGGTAGGAATGAACATGTTTCCTTGGAAGCATAAATCTCCACAAATCCCTTGCCGATTAAATGCTCTTTTGCCGATGTGATGGACTAATACTATTCATATTGATACACCTGGCTACATAATCTAATCCATTTTTGCGTGCAAGGGAAAAACCATCCGAGTAACAATAGCCACCTACCAAGGCACAATAAAATCGCGATTCTCTGGATTGAGACAGTGTCAGAACCTTCGTGGGAGTCAAAGCACAAGCTTATTAGGAAGTAGTAATATATATTTGGTGATGGAAAAGAAACGCTTGGGTTTTACCACCTAGTCCTCTCGTGCAAGAATTCCTGCTAGACCATAAACTAATACGTAAGCTGGGTTTATTCCGAGTGGAAGATATATCTAATATACTAACAAGGATACTATCACACACATACCATCTTGTAGTTGCCAAGACTCCAGGAACATAAAAAGCAAAAGTAGAAGCTCCACGCGGGACTCGAACCCGCAACCTCAAGATTAACCCTCTCACCCGATTGGCTGTAGAAGTCTTGCGCGCTACCATTGCGCCAGCAGAGCTAGATGTCTTTCTTTAAGAATTAATTGTGTCCTAGTTTTGGAAACTCAACTTGTTTCACAGCGGTACATGGTGATAAATACCAGCAAACCATATTCAAAAAAACAATTCCATACATTGCCTAACTATTCATGTACGATTAATGAACATGACTAGGGCAAATAAAGGAGGTGGGTAGGGCCCTTACTCACGGCCATTGAGAACAGGATGGACATAGAGCCATGGCTAGGTAGGCCTGGTTGGCCACACTGAATATTACATAAATTTCTTCCCCATTCCCTTATAATAGTATCAATTTACTTCATCGACTCACACCATCAAGCTTACAACAACTAGCAACCTCCATATACGAACACAGAAAATATGGACTTTATCTCTGTCGACCGAGATGCGTTATCACTCATCCGTAGCGACCGCTTAGCGATAGAAACTCAATTGGGGCTTATGGATATAGAATTTACCATGTTGTGCAATACTCCGGGATTCCACGACAAGCCATATGCTTCGATCTGCCTTGCAGTACATGCTCTCATAAAGGACATGTTACAGTACTTTGCTCAAGAATGTTTTCGAGAGATGCATTCGGCGATATTGTACCCTTATCAGCTGTTCTATATGCAAGCCCGTGCCAAGCTCTTGATTGAGTTGGACGATGAGTTTAAGGCCTTGGTAGACAGCGTTGACAGTTGCCCGGGTACTGTACAGCCGGACATTGGTGCACCTTTTATTAATGGTGATGTGTTTTGAGGAGCGGTAGGGCTTAGCTACCCAAAATCATTTTCTGGACAGCGAGGGCATGGAAATAGTTTGGTTGGCAGTACTGAACTGTTTTAATGTGAGATAACTTTTGAATTAATACCAAGACATGAATCTCAAAACTGCAATTGGCCAATCATTGGTAATATAAATATTGTGTTAAAAAGTAAGATATCTTTCAATTAATAACAAAACATAAATTTTGGGATTGCATTTCCTTCTCTGTTACTTAACAACCTACCAAATTGCTGGCAAAGGCGGTATCAAATCTTATGCATTTGCTAGTCATTGTTGTGAGGTATTGACATGAGCTATTTGAAAGGTATACTTTGGCTGCATTGTCAATATGTTGAAGGGCAAGTGCCCTATATGTGTTGTGGTATAGTATATCTACTTAAGTATCACGTTACGTGCCAGCGCCGGCGCCGGTGGAGATATTGCACCCAGTAATTCTATCAGGAGTGGGAAAAAAAAGTACAGCTACTTGTATTGATTTCATGATGTAAAATGTAATATTTAAACTTTTGTAGTTATATACGCACGTGGATATTGATATTTAACCAGCACTTCTGTTTAGGTTTCCCCACTTAGATTTTCACATATGTCGCAATGAGGGCCTTGCACGTGGTTCATTATTTATGGGGCGGCCTACTTGGGTCAGGCTTAAGTTTAATTGCATCAGGCTAGAATCTCCAAATCTGGTACTTTTGATGAAGCCGCTTGCGTAGGGGTGAATTGTGTTAACGTCAGCGAATTGAGCAGCCAGAACTCCACTGAAAAACTTGAGTATGATCCTCCGAGAGTTTTCAATCTGAACTCAATAGTACCTAAGGAAGGTCCTGATCAACATATACTTACCAGGCATGCTCTTTGGTGCAGAAGCGTGATATCAAGATGGTTCCTCGAAATGACATAAAGCCCATAATTAAAAAAGGAGCCAGCTCATTCTTGGTAGAATTGTTATAGCTTATGGAATACCAGAATATGTCCAAGAAGATTTTATTGTGAGGGTAGGTCATAGATATATCAGACATTCTTATATCGGGAGTCTACTTTAGAGCTAGGGGGTTTTAGACGGGGTCTTATAGCTACTCTTGTTGTCCGGGTGATTTAATCTGCATTAGATATTACAGACAACATCGCCTGAAGCGACTGCGTTGGGATAAGGGAGAAGTGTTGAGTGTGGTGGTGGCTGTTTATGCCGCGAATGAGGCTCAGACTGCGTTTTCCTTCAACAATGAGTGGGATATTATCCCCACAGAGGAAGGTCTGTTGAATACAAGCGGGGTTATGGGATGTGATACTGGTACTGTATCCACTATATCCACTGTAGCAGCAGACACAGAGGTGAGTGAAAATTATCCATATATTCCAGGCACAATATCTTCCAACTTGACGGTGCTGGAGAAAATGATGTTATGGAAAATCCTTTTGTGAGCGGCAGGAAGAATGGCTGTGATGTAGCCGTAAAGCTGCGTGGATATCATGCACCTGAGGAGAAAACCACTATTAGGTATCCACTCGAACAATGGCAGCAGCTGAACCGGAACCTGAACCGGAGGTCAACCGGTTGGATCCACAAAGCCCACAAATACAGAAAACACCATATTCCGGGTTGATGGCGTTAACGAAACAGGAAGTGGTTGCAGATTACAGCATGGTGGCTCCTGTTACCGCAACTCTGGCTCAGGCTGCAATCTCATTCAACAATGGTTGGGATATTATCCCAGTAGAGGAAAATTTGTTGAAACTGTCGGGACTATTGGGCAGAGTACCACCGTTTGGGAAATAATTCCGGAAGAAACCATGGTTGAAAATGATTTGGTATCAGATGCAGCAGCAGAAATGCCTTTGAAGTTAAATGAACAGCGCAACCCACCCGCAACTCTTGCGAAAGACAAGGAGGAGATAAAGGTGTGGTTGGAGAAGTACGTGGAATATAGTGGGAAGAACTGCAGTAATAAGTGCTGACAAGAAACGACAGAAAAAACCTGCAGATTTTGAGTTTGATAGCAATGAATGGCAATTCATCGCAGGAGAGCGGTGATAGTACGGGGAATTAGGGAGTCATAGAAAGTGAGGAATCTGAGAATGTTGAGGCTAGGGAGAAGGGTTTGGGAACGCAGTCGGTGGTCGACATTGGTTAAGAGACACAAATTTATGCTAACCTATTGTTGTGTTAGCACGGAATAGGAAGCTTGGAGAGGAACCGGCCAAAGAAGAGGAGCTGGATATCCTGCAGCAAAACATCAATGAAGAGTCGGGACTCAGAGAGAAGAAGGAAATCGAGCAATTCAAGGAAAGTGAGGAGTAATTGAAAGTAGTCCGACCAAAAAACTCACTGGTGCCGCGAAAAAGAGAAAGAGAAGGCAGGCTAGAGCCACACACAGATTCCGTGGCTTCATTAATTTGGCTTACGACTGGCTTTCTCTTGGGAGAGCTACTGAGGACGCGTGCACAGTTATGGTATTTCTGGGAATGTTCTGGGACTGGTGACGGTTGTCTTGTGGGTGTAGCTCGGATAGAGATTGGGCCGTGATTGTAGAACTGGTCGACTACCGGGCCATTGTAGGAGGCGCGGTAATGGTTAGCTTAGGGAGGCCTGGATATGTATGGGACACGAGCCTATGTATATAGTCGTCAATGAATTCTCGGACATCAGATAAGCAATTGGATCACAAACCATATGCCGAGTAACGTAAGGGTCCCGTGTGGTAACAAAAAGGAATGCCCATGATGTTCAACGCGTAGATTTATATCTGTGCTACTGATACATATATTATTGAAAGCAAGATTAAGAAAAGCACTGGGTTCAATGTAGCTATCAGGCTAGAACTTACAACGCCAATGGTAACCGTCTTCTATACACAAAATTGCAAACTGATGGTTGTGTGAAGGCGTGAGAAGTAGTCTATGTTTCTAAAAAGCCACACGAGTAGTTTGCCCAAGAGCAGTGGCTCCTAATCTCGTGACTACTTAGGGCGGCCTTCAGATAACAGTCCGTAACCAAAGGACATCACAACAAACATTAATAGGCTTGGCATCTGGTCTAACAAGTTCCCCCGTCTACTCACTTTGTCGGGCCATTCCTTTCTACTTCACAACACCATCAATTTTACCAACCCTGTAGACAACAAACAACCCAACTCTTCCACCTCACGAACTAAACCACTTCTTTTCTCTTATCATCAAATCACTGTTTGATACTCGTCACATCTCCAACCATTTCTATTTCGAGTGCAGCAATGTCTCTTAATCCTTTGGCCAGCGTTTTTGTGCCTCAGCCTGCAATAACAGCCATTCCATCCCCCTTGGAGAGCATGACCTCCACGATCACATTTCAATTCAATGCGGAGGCGGAGGAGTTCATTCCAGTTTCTGCTCACATGGAAGAAAAGGTAAGTAATTACATAAAGTTTCGGATTTGTGAATTTATATATTGACTCGTTTTCGGAACTAGCACGCAGGAACTATTGTCCATATGCACACCAATGTTATGCCTGGGCTTAATGTTTATGCCGATGTGTTTGTACCTATGTCTGCTGGATACCATCAGCAAGCTATCGAGGCTAAGTACACCGAAGAAGTAGGTGGCAAAGGCGTAACAAATGAAGTAAAAACAAAAGCGTTCTTCGACAATCAAACTTGAGGCATATTTACTGATTGTGCTTGTATGATAGTACCACCTAGTTGAAGAAGTTGATTACAGTTACGCTCTTGAGGCATCAACATTTGAGCAATACAACTTAGGTTTGCAAGTAAGCACGAGCACTGCCTTGAATAGCCTGCTAGATGCCTATACTGACCCTATCCCGAGCCTTGGCAGAATGATTGGAGTGGAGAATCCGATCAAAACCCTTTCGAATCTGGCTTCGACGTAGAGAGGGCATATGGTGTGCCATGCGCATGTGAAGAGTGTCTTGAGGACCAGGTATGCACTGGCAATCAATTCTAGATTCTTATATACTTATGGGTACGGTAACTGCGAGCTGACTTGAACGGGTAGAATGCAATGAGCATTAGCAATTCTTTTCAGAACTACGACTATAATGTTAGTCTTGACGATAGATTTTTGTTTATGCCAGCTGGAGAGCAAGAAAAAACAACCATGACGCAGGGTGGGCAAGAATGCGTATCATGTGTATGGAATGTTACAAACGATGTAAGTGGCAATAACCTCTAGGATATTGTATGCGTAATAACAAATACATTAAGATGGCGGAGGGCGTACCTCAGAATATCGACT